ATCACATACTGAGGCAGACAGCACATGCATTTGACCCGCACATCAGTCAGGGGAACACGGGACTCTCTCTCAGAGCGGACGGCACGAAAGTGTATGTATGGCTGGCTACCTCTCTCTCTCTCTCGGTTGGCTGAGATCAGTTGGTCGTCTGGTGTGTTTGGCTATGCGTATGGGTGGCTGGCATGCTTCGCGTGTGGGTTTGACCGTTGCCAGAGAGAGGACATCCGCACCATGACACTTTTGTAACACTGGTGCATCTGCGTGTCTTCCTTTTTCCACTTGCGGGTCTGTCGTTTGGCTGCGGGGAGGTTGGTCTGCGCATGGGCGCTGTCGGCATTGTGTTTGGTGTTGGTTTGGATGGATGTGTATCGGTCTGGATGAGAGCGTGATGGTGTCCGTGTGGCCTTGCGGAGGATCAGATCAGCCGCACATGACGAGCCAACCTCAGCCAGATCTTCCACGAGAGCACCGGCACACAACAGCGCGTCATCTCTGCTGTCCTTTGCTGTCTTGCTGTTGTTGCTGTCGGGGCGTGTGCTGGCGGTCTCAGGTTGAGTTTGTTGCGTCCTTCTCCTACCTCGACGACACCATCGTCATCTCCCGCACTCCTGCTCTTCTCTCTCGGCTACTCTCCCACCTCATACGCGTCGGTCGGCTGTCCTTCACTGCTGCCCGGCGTATCCACTGACCGTCCTGTTCGAAACCTGCCCTGCTGATGCCCTCTCTTTGCTGCCCTCTCTGCTGTCGTCATGTCCAACCCCTCATCTCGCCCACCTCCTCCCCCTCGACCCTCTGATCTCGTCCGTGGCCACCTATTCAACGACTACAACGCGCCCAGTACCATCCGTGAGAAAGTCGACCGCTCGCTCAGGAGAGTGACATACGACCGACGAGACCAGCACGAGCTGGTGGGCTTCTTCTACGCCAAGGAGCAGATCACGGATAAGATATATGAGCTCAATGAGCGGCGCGACAAGTCGACCATCTCAAGGGGGGAGTACGACAAGAGGGTGAAGGACGCGAAGCGCCGTCAGATCGTGGTGCAGAAGGAGATCGAGCGTCGCACGGCGACTCGGCGATCCCCTCCCCCTCCCCGCACGCGTGCGCCTCGTTCTCGGTCTCGTTCTCGCTCTCGGCGTCGTTCTCGTTCGCCTCGTCATTCGCCGCCCCCGCACCGACACGTCATCATCGACAGGCACCGACACGTCACGATCGACGGAGGTCTCGTGATCGTCAGTCGCGGTGCCACGGTGGTGTTCAGCTCAAGCCTGCTGCTGTTGTCCGAGCAGAGGCAGCGGTGCGTGTGCAGACGACCGAGGCTGCCGAGCCGTCGCAACTGTCTGAGACCCAGCAGCCCCCCACACACCCGCAGGCGACCACACCACCGCCGCAGACGGCCACACCACAGCCCCCATCCGCCACGCCCGAGCATCAACACACACACGACCCCAACACTGAAGAGGTCGACGACCACGAGGACGAGGAGCAACAGAGAGACTCTGAGGAGCGACACGACGACGACGAGGAGCAACAGGGAGAGTCTGAGGAGCGACACCACGACAACGAGGAGCAACAGAGAGACTCTGAGGACCAGGAAGGCTCTGAGGAGCGAGAGCAGGGGAACGAGCAGGAGCAGCAGGACGATCCCACACCCCCCCACCCCGCTCCCTCTCTGCACCCTGGTGTCCATCCCGTGGATCTACCGTCCCCGGAGCAGCTGAAGCCTTTCGTGCACTCGGTGGACCAGCTGTTCTTCACCGGCATCTGGCTTTGCAACAACTGCACTCATCGGTCGGTACGAGGCGGGGCGGTTCAGCAGGGCGGAGAAGC